ACACCGGTTACCCTGGTGGTGGTTGCAACAACAGTGCAGAAAGTAACTGCCACATTTTATGGAATAAACTCGACTTCTGTCAGCAGTGATCTTGACACCCTCCATATACTCCGTGATTGAAGGAGGGCTCCACCCAATGAGATAATTGCACAACAGCAAGCAAAATACTGAAAATCTTCTATCCAGTGGGCCTATGGCCGACACACTTTTTTTCGGGGTTGGCCATGCCCCCAACGGATTGAAAAGATTTTGGCGGAAAGATTCCTTTGCATCTGCATGCCCAGTGTTAAGGAGAGGAGGAGGGGAACCAAGATCTCCTTCCTTTTTCGGGTAATACATGTAAAACACTGACTGTGGGATCACGGCTACTGCACGGCAGGATTTGGGTCACTCAACTGCCACACAAACTCTTTTGTATCCTATCCGATTGCTAGTGGGACCAAGCCCCTGGGGTCCGTTGTGTTTCTTTTCTGGTCCTCTGCTGAAAAAGAAAAGAAAAAAAACACGGCCAGACTTTCAAAAAATGACGTACTCACAACAACAAAAAAGAAAATGAAAAAAAATGAACACCCCTCTGGACGTGATACAATGTAGATACCTGCCCAAAAGTTATTGTGCGAGTATGTTCTCAGTGAGGGCGTTACGGCAGAGGTGTCTGGTCCACCGAAAAAGAGAAGAGAACCTTTTTTTGAAACTGAACTTAAGGTGGGAAAGCGGGTTTATACATTCTGCCTCCCAGACGGGGCATGAAAAAACAAAACAAAAACAGCAGCAACGAAAACCTGAAACTGGTCAGTATTGGTGTGAGCACAACTTTGTGAACGGTCTTCTCAGACTTAGTCTTTTGTTTTTCTTTTTGCTTTTCGAACGGGCCCACAAGGCCCAACTGCCGAGCCTCCGCAGACCCCCAAAAAAGTTCGAAAAAAGCGGGAAACAGCCAGTTTTTCCATTTTTGTCCAAGAGTGGCAGAGGTGGAGGTGGTTTAAGACATGAAGAACATAACTTGACAAACAGGCTTTGTTAGCTTCAAGCTTTTACTTTTCCCCCTCATCACATTGCCACTAGGGGCCCAGGGGGCACTTGCACATGCAGGGGTCTTCATCCACAGAACACATATCACTCCCATCTCACTCCCGCTATCCAACATCCCCCTTTCTACACCCCATGCCTAGACACTGCTCGGCTGCAGTGTCACAGGCACATGGCAGTCTCCCACCCACCGACCACCATGCCATACTACTGGTAACCGCAGCTCTATCCAGGAATACATCCCCCCCTCGAAGGCCTCCACCGCTACGTGACCCCACGGCAACGGATCCGGGCAGCCTCGGCCGCGGCCGAGGAGGCCAGCCACGACCCTGCGACCGAGGTCGCGAGGACGACTTTTTTCGTGGCCACGCCAAGCGCAGGCGGAGCCGCGCGCCCAAAATCAGGGTGCACGCACCACCTGCGCATGGCATCCCCGGCCATAATGAACTAAAAAATAAAAAATAAAAAAAATTAGGGGGGGTTCGTTTTCAGGTGGGAAAAAGAAAACCCAAAAAAGATAACCAATTTTTCTTTTTTCTTTTTTATGTTCTCTCTCTCTCTCTCTCTCTCTCTCTCTCTCTCTCTCTCTCTCTCAGTCTCTCTCTCTCTCTCTCAACTCCATCACATTACGCGAAGAGACTACAAAGCGGTACTACTCTAGAAAGACGCCATCGGGGCCGTGCGAGTGCACACCAGCACATCCTCCAACCTCCATATGGGACGTCGACACCCCTGCCGTATGGCACGAGCCGCCCCTTGTGCATTGCGACAGCAAGCCACCGACGCCCATCAACATGCCGGCTGCGTGCTTTGTCATTGCGCGGCCAACCCCCGACGCACCCGACAATGCGACGTGACCCGTCTTGTACGCGATGTCGACTGTGCTTCTCTACCCCACCCCATCCTTGTCGTCACACGCTGTTTTGTCATCATCATCCTCCGGGGGGCCAGTGCCCAACCATTCCAACTTTTTCGCGGCCATCGGCGAAGGAAGAGTGGCGTCATGGCCAGATGTGATCCCACAGTCAGCCCAGTCCGGGATGTACAAAGGTGGTTCTGCCAACATCATGGCGGTTTCCCCATCCTCTCCGTCATGACAGTGGTTGCCCGAAGGATAGGGCGACGAGCATCGAAACATCGATGCATGGCCGCCACCAGTGTGGGCTTCGCGATGAGCTGCACGAACAACGACGCATTGAAATGGAAACAGAGATCGTCCCTGCTCATCCTCATCAGCCCCATTGATGCCGCAAGAAAAAGCCTCGTAACGTCGGCAATGTTCCTTAGCGTCGCGTAAGAGATGCACCCCCCGTCGACCCCCTCCACGAGACTGACGGCGCTTGTGAAGGCGCTCACCAGGCGCAGCACGGTCGCCTCTTGGTAGCATGCCAACTCGTCATCCTCGTATCTGTCCTCAATGTGTGCGCCGACGAACCAAACGGGGAGCTTCATGTCCATCTCCAGTGTGATGTGGAAGATAGAGGGGCTCACATACGTGCACCAGTCCTCTCCAAGCCACACGACGCGGGCCATGTCCATCGCCTCGTGGTGGAGGAAGTACCCGTATGCGGAGTGGTAGCCCCGTGAGAGACTCGTGGACTTAAAGATCCATCCATGGATGACGCGCAAGGCGATGCTCTGCACTTTCGTCGCCCTGTTTTTCGCCGCCTTTAGCTGTAGTTCGTCTTCGATCTTGTATTGCGGGATACTTGAGTGAGGGAGGGCTATACTCCGACAGATCTCGGGAGTGGTGACTCCCCTGGCGATGGCCAGAAAATAAAGTTGCGCTTCCTGGATGACCTTGAAGAGTCCATTGCCCTTCGTCTCATTCCTAAACCTCATGTCATCCACCCACAACTTCGTTGCAGCTTCAATCCCATCCCATGCATTCCCCCGTCGTTGCCTGTTCACCAAAGGCTCGTCGTCGTCGCCTTCCCCACGGCTCTTTGAGGCTGCTGCAACCATCGTCGGTCTAGATGATCCCGCCATGGCACCGCCCTGCGAGGCAATAGGGATTATAGGGTCTTGTCGATGTGCACCGTGCCCACTTCCTTGCACCGCCACCTTCACGGCCCGTCACTTCTCCTGAACTCCTTGGCCACGTGATGTGGTTGGGGGTGATTGCACCCGTTCGAAATCTTGAGCGTCAGGCGGCGCAGTCACACGTGTCGTCGCAACGGGCCCCCCTGCACGCGCCGTCCGCGGAGAAGCATCCAGTTGGACCTCCATCGCCGCTTGACCAGCGTCCACATCGATGAAGACGTCAGCCTTGCGAACCCCCTCCCCGCCGCGGGGTTGAGGAGCAGATTGCGGTCGCGGCTCGTTTATTCGAACCGCCCCTCGTGCATGCAAAGACGCTTGCCTGAAGGCTTCCACCTCGGTTTCCGACACGAAGTCATCGTCGTCGCCCGCGCCCTCGAAATCCCTCACCCACTCGTCATCCCTCGCAGCACTTCCCCTCGAAGGTTGATGACGTCCTCTCTTCACGGCCATAGGCGCTTCCGCTTCCAAGTTGTCCTTCTTCTTGTCACGATTTCCACTACGTGAAGGCGTGGTGAAGACGACGAGCATGATGACCGAGAGCGACGACGGCGTGAAGTGCGCAATCGGATGGCTTGCGTAGGTGACGTGTCCGGGGCAGAGGCGTGTGCTGAAAACGCCCTGTTCGTGCAGCCCAGCAGGGGAGAAGACACCATGCTGATCCGCGGGAATGCGACGATGCAGACAAGAGACTGGCGGCAGGTCCTTGCATGACCAGGCGCAGATGGTGGGAGACACGATTGGGGGCGATGGAATGACACATGTGGCGAGGTCGCACGACGCTGCAGTTTGTGGTTTGCTAGCGGCGGCATTGTCGCGGCCAGGCGTCTGTGCACACGAACGATGAATGATGCTTTGACAATGTTGCGGAGCGCGAAGATCGACGATGGCAGGCGAGTATTCGTGGAGGTCATTCACGTGTGGAGTCCGTGATGTGCAAGCGACGGCACACGAGGTGGACGTTTATACCCGGTACTGTGGACGATCTTGATGAGGCGCTCAATGTATATAACCCCGCCGTTACCCTGGTAAGGGTTGTTGCCCGACGACGACATGCGTGAGCACCGCCCGTCCATACGGGGATGGTGAGCACCGCCCAACGACAACACGCATGAGCACCGCCTATGGACGATCTTGGCGAGGCAATGGGGCATATATGGACAGGCGATAGCGGCGCTTCTGCCTCGATTGTCGTGCAACAGGGCCTGAGCGTCCACTAGCGCGTATGCACCCACATCGCAGACCACTTTGGTCACTTGATCTGCGGTCATCCACTTTGGAATACATTTGTCATTGCGAAAGACAAAGGGACCTCACACGGTGCGATCCGTCACCACACACTACACCCCACGATGGACGCACCCCGCGCAACTGCCAGCAAAGACAAGCCTAGCCATCGTGCCCCCACGAAACGAGGGCATGTTGTAGCGGACCTCTGGTTGGCCTGTGAGACCAGCCCCTTGGCCTGTTCTCACAGGCCAGTGTTTTATTCAGGGCAGTCCAGTCCAGGCCGGTACCTCAGTCGGTACCAGCCAGTCTAGTCCAGTCCCGTCAGTCCGCTGGGGTATACCCCAGCAATTGTCTGTTTTCATCCTCATTCTACACTTGCACATTTTGGAGTACGTGCGGGAGTCTTGCGTGGGGAGCTGCGTTGTGCATCTTGCTCCCCCCTTCTTCCTCCATTTCCACCTCTATCACTAGCGGAGCACCACACCTGGTGGGTCCGCTACATTGGTATCGGAGCGGGAACGTTCCCCGCTCCCACCCACCACCCCGTACAGCCGTACAGCTGAGGAAAACAGCAAAACCCGACAACGGTTTTTTTCGCTGTTTTCGGATGGGAACGTTCCCCGCTCCCACCCACCAAGATCGCCGCACGCGCGCGCGCCAGCGCCCACGCTGCCCCGCTGCTCCGCCCCGCCCCGCTCCCGGATTATATTAATCAAGATCCGAGATGGATGCTGCCGCTGGGGTTTGAACCCAGGCAGCTGCCGGCCATGCGCGTGCGTGCATGTACCACCCCCATAACACACTGGTCACAGTCTATGCATGGCCTTGTAGCACAAGGCCAAGAGGTTGCTGGCTATTTACCCCCCCCCCCCCCCCTGGCGAGCAGCGAGCAGCGGCCAGCGAGGCAGCAACAGGAGAGGCTGCTATTTACCCCCCCCCCCCCCCCTCCGTGGCTGCTGCTGCCTGTGCACGTGGCCACCTGCAGTGCCACGTGGCACTTTGCTGTGGACTAAAGACCCCCCTGGTTAGGGGGCTGCGCCACAGCGTCATTATTATTATTATTATTATTTTTTACTATCTCTCGACTGCTGCAGCAGCTCAAGATTTCCCCCTGGCTAGGGGGCTGTGCGACTGTGGCAGTAGGGTGGCTGATCCAGATCTCAGCCAACCCTAGATCATCATCATCATCCATCAGGGTATACTCACACAGCACACCCTGGATCTGCAGTGCTGCAACTAGGGCTGATCAAGATCTCAGCCCCCCTACATCCTCCTGTTGGTTGGCTGCAGCGAAGGCCAAGACCCTCCTGGTCTTGGTATACCTTGTGCCCTTGGAGACACTAAGGGCCAGGTATCATCTCTCTCTCCCCTTTTCTTTCCCCCAACTTCCACTGCCTCTCTCCCCTCCTCTTTTTACCTTCCCCACCCCACCTTTTCTCCCACTAACCACTACCTTACCCTTTTTTCTTCCTTTCTTTTCTTTTCTCTCCTCCTTTCCTCTTAGTTTCTTGATCACTCTTCATCTTTCCCCATCCTCTTTCGCTCCCATTCTCTCACCCTCCTCTCCCCCAACTGCCACCACATCATTCCCCCATCTTCCACTTCCATCTTTTTCCCTCTCCCACCTATTTCTTTCTTCTCTCCATCACTTTCTCATCCCCCCTTCCCCCCCTACTTCGAATTTTTCTGTTTTTCTTTTTCTATCTCCCTTTTGATTTATATATATATTTTTTTCCAAAAATTCGAAATATCTTCTTTCCCACCTTCTTTTCTCATTTTCTGATTTATTTTATTTATTTTTCTATTTATTTTGAAAATTCGATTTTCTCTACAACAACCCTAAATCTGATTAGGAATTAGTCTTTCTTGCTTTCGGCACACGTTTTGACCCCGTGGGAGCAACGAAGTGCTGCCGAAATTTTCTGATTTTCCGTTATTTAGTCTTTTTCGGCACACTTCGATCCCATGGGGGTAACGAAATGCTGCCAAAATTTTGGACAAATTAGATACTTCATTCCTCCCCACCTCCTCATCCACTTATTTACTTCTTTATTTATTTATTTATTTATTATTTCTTTATTTATTCTCTAAATTTTTTATTTATTTATTTTGCGGCATCTTGACACCTAGTGTGCTCACCTTGGTCTCTCCTTTCCCCTTGGCACATTCTTGATCCCGTGGGGGGTAGGGAAATGTTGCCGAAAATTTCAAAAAAATAAAAATAAATATTGTTTTCCTTTCACATCTTTTTACTTATTTCTTTACTTATTTTTATTATTTATTTATTTTCTTATTTATTTTTATTTTCTCTCGAAATCTCGCTGTTTATTTATTTTTCTCCCGCCTTCCCCCCCCCCCTATGCTTGTTATTTTGCTTTCTTGATTAGGTCACCGGTACCCTATCCTAACCACTTAAACTTCGGTTAGGGTTTTCTTAGGGTTTTTTGTAGGGTTTAGGGTTCTTCAAAACCCGCCCCTACTTTCCCGTCCTCTTCGGGCACCCTAGACCCGAACCACCCCTCCCCCTTTGACGGCGTCCGCGCTAGCCTTCCTAGCGTCGTTCGCCGCTTTCTACCGCGGACTTCCCCCTACGCCCTTCGCTCACGTGGACCTCTTCTGGCCCCCTCCTGTCCGGTCCGTCATCTCCCCATGGCCGACAGTGTGTCACACGCCGCCGACACAACAATGACCACGGCATCGGGCTCCACACCCGTGCCGGTGAACCAGGGCCATCAGCCCCAGGGGGATCTGCACACCCTCCTCACCTCCCTCCTTGCGCCCATCCAGGCGCAACTCGCGACCCTTGCGCCCATCCAGGTGCAACTAGCGACCCTCGTGCCCTTACAGGCGTGGGTGGCGACCCTTGCCGCCGGCGTGCGGCAACTCCAGGACGCTGGTCCTCCTTCCTCTCCTCACCCTATCTCTTCTCGTGGCTCCCAGTCCGGGCCCCCCGTCCTCCGACAGGGTGGCCATGGTGGAGCTTCCTCCTCCGCTGCCCCCGACCCGGCCATCTTGGTGACCGTCCACGCCCCTAGCACGACGGCCGCCACGAGTCAGGTCCTCCCTCAGTCTACGGGCGCACCCGCCCAGACCCGGTCACTACGGTCACAGTACCACAACCCGCTACCATGGTCGCAGCTTTTCCGGGTGCCCCACTTCTCCCTCCTCTTCGCACGACCGCAGCGCCATCTGGCTCTCCCCCTTGTGGGATGCCTCGCGCCGCTCGTGCGTCTCCCCCTGCCACACCTCGCTCGATCTACGTTCGTCTCGAGGACGAGATCACCCAGCTGCGGACCGACCTCGCCCTCTCACGCCTTCAGCCACCCCCACCCTCACAGGTGGCCACGCCTTTCGACGCACCCCTTTCTTCCTCTATTCTTCCTTCCATGCAGGCTCGCTTCCCCCGCCCTGCACCCTACCCATCCCCATCCTACCTCCTCCCCATCCCCTCGGTTGCTGCGACCTCTTCTACCGCAGCTCCCGTGCAGCCTGCCTCTGTTTCCCCCGCCGCTCCACCATGCGGCCTGGGCATACAGTCAGCTGCGCCCCCTCGTCCAGGACCTACGCCGACTTATTCAGTCGTAGCGCAGTCCCCTGCTCCTCGATCCTCTTGCCGCCAAAACGGTGGCGCACCACTCGTCCGCTTGTCAGATATTGCTTTCTATGACGGTACAGGCATACGCGTGTCTAGGTGGCTGCAGCCTGCCACCCGCACGCTCCAGCTCATGGGCGCCACACCCGACACGTGGGTGGGTCACCTCTCCACGCGCCTACGTGGCGGTCCTTTCGAGGCCTCGGAGGATTTCTACGCGTACTCCCTTCGTGAGGGTCGGACCCCGACCTTCATGGATTTCCAAGCGTTCCTCGAGGATCGCTTCGGAGCCCGATACGACGTGACTGACTCCTTCGAGCGTGTCGTCACTACACGCTGGTCCGGCTTTGGTGGCGCTGCCGCTCTGGATCGCCACATCCAGGTCTTTCAAGACGCCCGCCTCACTTGTGACGTGGCGTTCCTCCCCGAGGCTGCCCTTATCGATCGTTTTTTGGCCAGCCTTTCGCTCGAGTACCGCTTGGAGCTATGGCGGTACGATTTCACATCGGCCCCGCAGGCTTACGAGGCCGCCAGGGACCATTAGCGGATGCGGGCCCGTCTTCACCCCGCCTCCTCCTCCCAGCCTCAGCGCACGGGCTACGCCTCCTCCTCCTCTCACGGCACTTACCAGCGTCGTTCCCCCTTCCGCGATCGCCCCCGCCGTTCCGCACAGCAAGGCCGCCACTTCTTGCGCCGCTTCAGTGCGCTCGAGTATGGTGAGCAGGACGT